TTTGAATTACACAAGACAATGTATTTTATTAAAATAATTTTAAATAAGTCATAGTTTTATGTTGTTTTAATTAAATGTTAATTGTATAATTTGCATTATATATTACGGACCTTAGCATATTTGGTACATTCATTTAAAAAATTGGTTTTAATATATATTTGTTAACAAAATTTGTTTGAAAGCTTATAATATCTTCTTATAACTATTGGTTATGAACCCTACAACAGAGGTGATTGATATCTGAATTGGTTATTTCGTATGAAATAGCAACTATTGCAGGACTGATTTTTTGTTAAATCCTTAGGCTGATAAAATTTTAAGAGTTGAAACAAACTCTTTTATAGGTTTGAATCTGATGTTGTTGGCACTCGTGGAGATTCCAATAACCTAGTGTGGATTCCAAGAAACTTATTTCATTTCTTTGTTGACAAAACGTATTTTTTGTCCACATTAAGAAACAATTGTTATAGTCTTTATTATTGTCACATAAGTGCAATCAGACACAAAAAAAATTGGTTTACAAGTAAGCCTCTGACAGAAAAGTGAATTATAATTTTTGCTATTCTAACGAAGTTGCTAATCTTATGATTATTCGAGTACCTATAAAGCTTATAAGCTGGTTTGTGTTTAATACCATGTTAACACATCTTTCTTCAGTAGAATGTTGAGTTGAAACTATTGGTAAGATGTCTGTTAGCCCACGATACCATCACAACAAGTCTGCCTTAAGAGTCAGAGTTTCAGCTCTGCTTGGAAGAAGATGGGAGCAATGTTACTTTATTTGTGAATGTGTGGCTTCGACATTGGAGAATACGAAAGCAGATTCTCTTGTCCCAGTTTTATATTAAGAAAACCTTAACGATATACGTTAAACCTAATTCAAATGGTTTTGTGTCTTCTATCTGATTAGGGTCGTTTGTTAACAGAAAATATCTGTTACAACTCTAGAACTCTGTTAATTTCTATGTGCGTATTATATTTTTATTTATTTCGAAATGTATTTCTAGTTATTAATTAAAATCTTAAGTATTCAGTACAATTTATTTCATGTAATTCTATATTTAGAATCATTGCAAATTTAATTATTTCGACGAAGTTGTAAACTAATTATGCGAAATATTTTCGTAGCTTGTATAATTGAAAATTATACAGTTCGAAAACTGTCAAAATAGGTACTAAGTATATCTGTATAAGATACAAAGCATTAGATATTGGTTAAAAATAGTCACTTAGAGCAGCTACATTACTTCTGACTCGTGCTTTTGCAAGGCAGAAGGTAATGTCGTGTGGAAAATTGACATATCCAAAAATAGCAATTTGTTTGAAAATGTGTTACTAATACATGAAATAACTTAATAATGGCAGACACGTGTAAACGCAGACAAAACGCATAATGACAAGGTCATTAAGGATATTTTGCGTAAAAACATACCATAGAAGGATATGTGTCCATATGCGGTACTAAGTCAATATTTTAATGTAAAAAAATACTTCTTTTATGAAGCTGAGTAGCATTTAGTAGTTTTTTTTATAACTAAGCCTTGATTCTTTTTAAATATATTCAATTTATTTTTTGTACATTTTCAATATAAATAATAAATATTTTCTATTATTTTTAGTATAATTACAGAAAAAGTTAATGTTGGCCTTCAGTTGTCATATACATTGATACAGAAAACAACATGGAAAAACGCTCAAATGCAGAAAGAACATTTTTAAGCAGTTGATAGAGACAAAACAATATTATTTACTTATTTTCGGCTAAATCTTAACGAAATCTATTTAAATCGAGACAAAGAAAAAATTAATTAAGAAAGAAATTATTCTAAATCTTATATACCTTAACTTAAAACCAAAACAAAAACACTTTAGACAACTTAAAAAATAGATTAAACGCTTTTTGTCGCTTTAGTAATATAAATACGAAAAATCTGTATCTTCCGTTTTCTTCCATTGCTGAAGATTTATACTTTTGCTTAGTAAGCAAATTGAAGTAAAATTTTTTCAACTTGAAAATAGTTAATTGTTATCAACCCGTTCAAGTAATACAAAGCAGCTTAATAATTAATATTAAAGTAGTAGTATCTATTAAATAATTTAATTAAATTAAAGACAATTTATTAAAAAACAAAATCGCGCACATTGCAAATAAACTGCTTCCTTAGTAAAATAAAATAACAAAATAGAAATTGTATCTGCTATAATCAAAATCAAATATTTAAAGAAGACAAGACAAAAAACTGCAAAATACAAATTTCAAAATGGCTCACAAACCTGATACCGAAAGTTCTGTCTCACACGACGTACTGCTGGGCGGTGTAGGACCTTCACACATGGCAAGTAGTAGCGGTGGTGGAGGCGTCACATCAACTAATTCAAAACTGGACAGCATCTTCAGCGAGGATGCAACCGTTTACACACCCATACCACAGTTTTATGCTGGTCGTAGTGTTTTTATTACAGGAGGTACCGGCTTTATGGGCAAGGTGAGTTAATATATTCCATATTGAGTTAAGAAATGGGAAAATCCTGAAGTCAATATTCAGATCTATTTCAATTGAAAATATATTCAAAATTTAAACTAAGTATAAAATTCTGAAGAAAAACTATCACAGAGATATTTGCCTTGTAAATTACTTATTTATTTATTTTCATTAAATATTTTTTTAGCTATTTGATACATTATATAATCTATGCTACTGTCAAGAGCTTAAGATGTCTATATAGGATTTACTATTATATCTGCTACTTAAATGATTTATTAATTTTAAATCGTTCTACTCAAAGATATCTACGGTTGACCTCACGATTCCGAGAATTCAATGCTGGTGTGAGAGATGTTGGTTACATGTACATGCATCCATTTTTTGCGTCTTTAAATGTTTATACTTGCTTAGTTTGTTTTTCGCTTTATCTGTTACTTATAGCACATGACCCATCATATTCCACATGATACTTTACATTGTCATTGTTTGTAGAATTTGTTTGTCTGGATACTCAAAATGCTTTGATAAAAGATTTATTCAACTTGCAGGCAGTAATAATAGTTAGGTTAACAGATGGAAACACTTAAAGACAGATGGACATCGTAGCATCGATTTCTCTAGTTATTATGCTGAAGATAATAACCCGCTTAGGTATATAGTTTTTGAAGGTGCTCTTACTGTATTCTGACTGTATTTTCCTATAAACTTTTCTTGATTTGTGTAAGAAAAGTATAAATAAAGCACAGTTTAGGACACTACCAGTTTATTATGTGGACTTGATTACGTCATTTCCATAACCCCAACTTGTATATAAATATTGTTAGACCGAAAGTTAGATATATAGAATATTTTTACATCACATTTGAAAAAGTTTTGAATAAAATTAAAATTAAATTTATTTAGTTTAAGGTGACAACATAAATGATAAGGTTTTTATGATAATATTAATCATTCATAAATAAATTTAACATTCATAAATAGAAAATTTATGAACTAGTCATTGTAATAATAAATATCTTATTTGACATTTAAAATATTCCTAATTTAATCCGCCACGTGTGAAGTGATTAAATAGCAATTTGAAAATTTAGATGAAAAAGATAATCTCATTAATATTTTTTTTAATATCTGTATTAATTTTTTACTAGTAAATAAAAACAAATTTGCTACATTATAAAATTGTATTAAGTTTATTTTTTAAATTAAAAAATAAAATTAACTATCAAAAAAAAAGAAAATATACCTTCATGCAAGATACCTTGAGTTTGTAGCGCGAATTGCGTACATTTTATTCAGATATTTAACAGTAGTTATTGATGCTCCATTTTAGCAGCGCATTAACAGCAGCTTTTAATGTTAGGTATGTAAGGATTTCTGTTAAAATCATTAGAATATGTATTATTATAATAAACTTCTGTAATCTATTTCTAATGAAATAATAAAAGTTTATTACGATTTTATTTAAGTAATTAAATTTAATTAAGATTAAATTTTATTTAACGGATTTATTTAAGCTTTTTAAGAAATTATAATACAAGTAGCAAATTAATTAATATTTTTATATGTCTACATCATGTTTTATAAAATATTCTTAACAGTTTACAATAGAAGCCATCTCTGTAAAAATTGTAACAAAAATCCTCACAATGAACAATAAAACAGTTTTCAAAACTCTGAATTCTAGAAATATTAAATTGAAATTTTTATTATATGTACAAAATATTGAAGAGATTTCATTGTTGTTGTAGTTATTAAAATAAGGGCCATGTTATGCAACAAGAACACGTTGACATGCATTTTCCCTTAGATTTTCAGACGTCGACGGGGAGATTAGTGTAATTTACAGTTATCATAGCACGCCATATCCTTGCATTTCGGGCACAAAAGCATTGTTGCTCCGCCACAACTAAAATTTTTTTTGCTTTTATTTCGTTTTTACCAGATTTTATCGTTAAAATTACATGTTTTATTTAAGCCTTTTTATATTAGCATAGCGTTGCATTATTAGTAAATGTGAGACGAAATTGAAATTTAGTTCAGTGATTCAGTGGTTCAGTGAGAAGTGAAGGAAAGTTGATATTGCCAAAATAAAGCAAAGCATTTTAAAATGTTTCAGTTGCTTTCTAATATGAATATGGAATTGAACAAATTTATAAAATACCATAATGTTACTTAGATACTTAAATTTAATGTAACATTTATTTTATTAATCGAGCTAGACTTGGTCTACCCTGTGGTATCTCCTGCAATGTGTGTCTACCAGCTCTCAGAAAGGACCAGAAAGGACATCAGAACACCTGATGTGTTTATGTTCAGATTAAGCCAGTACTAGGCTTCAGTTTCTGGGAGCCCTCGTTTTCAATACACTGGGCAAATGGCTATGGCTGGTTCTAGCTTGACCGCGTCTCTACTACCTACTATTACAAGGTTTTTTATATTTAAAACGGCTTTTTCAGCTAATTGTGGAGGATTTGTTCGTCCCTCCACCACAACTAACTAACTTACTTTATTAATATTACTAAGTTAGGTTAGGTTAGGTTAGGTTAGGTTAGGTTTAGGGGCGAATCTACGACGACAACTTACACGTATAGATACTATGTGTCGTTACGTTATCGTAAGACTTCTAGTCATAATAGGATATTTTAATATTTTACAATTTTAATAATTTACTCTTTAGTTGATTGTGCTTATATCTAATATCAGCGTAACTAATTTATTTATTTTTTCGTAAATTTTGAAAGATCTGTGATAATAATATCTAAGAATTCTTCGTGGGCTGCGAGAAAAAGTTGTCCAAAAATTGTAATAATACTAGCTAACTTTCGTACATATTTGTGAATTAATATCTTTACATTTGTTGTGAAATATATATTTCTTAATTTAACAAAAAAAGTTTTGTAGTATTTAAAAATAAAAAATAAAAAAATTCTTAACTTCTTCTAATTCTAAGAATTATCTTCCTCCATGTACATTAAGATACTTTCTGAAAAAGTGAAGATTTAGTTGATTTTCCTTTGTATACGTTTACGCTAAGACAGGAATTTTACTAGAAGTGACGTGCGATGGCAAACAAAATTACTCATGATTGAGTTTGAAAGTAAGTATTAAAGCTATGGAATATCGTTGGATAATAATGGTATTTCTACTTTAATGCTGTTGTGAGGTTTTGCGTTAAATCGATTAAGTTTTATTGTAAATAATCAATCACTTGGCACAATCTTGCTAGCTTCTAATTTCTCTATACATATAAAATTATCCTGATACTATTGTGTATTTGTTTGCGTATGTGTGCGTACACAATGACCACATATTTTTTGTGTGGTCATTGTGTCACGCTGACTGCGCTGATCATAAACTCTATTACGTGACACTCTCGTCGGTTCTGGGTGTTTAATGTCGACACATATTCTAATGATTGTCATTACACTGCATTTTAAATGAGTGGCCTTACATGTAACACATATGCGTGTGTGTGACAGTTTTCTGCTGTTCAACATGCGGTAAAATATGTGGTGAATTACGCTTGTGGTTTTGTAATTGTTTATTTTTTCCATTTTTTCGTTTTCCGTTTTCCGTTCTGTATTTTTCCTTTTGTTATTTTAATTTACAAATTAATGTTACGTTGAGTACTAAACAGTACTCAATGGTAGTTGTATTTATTAGGCAATTACACATATCTTCGCTCTTGTTTTTAATTGCATATCAATTATGTTATGGGCACATATTCGTTTACACAAGTGTAAACAGAGTTTTATTGGGTGCTAATTCTAAGTAGAATATATTTGTTATTATTAACATAAAATTATTATAAATTAATTAAATTTACTTCCTTTTTTCAGGTACTTGTTGAGAAATTGCTCCGCTCCTGTCCAGATATAAAAAATATTTATTTACTGATACGACCCAAAAGAGGACAAGAAGTTTCTGCACGTCTGAATGAACTCCTAAATGCACCGGTAAGTAAATTTAAATATAATCATAAGGATAATTAAACACTTTTAAAATAATACTCGAATATATGTGTTATAAAGGGTCTTAAACTTGAGAGTTTCAGTTAAAATGTATATAACATATTGATATGTAAAATCAACTTATATACTTTACTTTTATATAATATTCACACCAGCACTCGCAATTATTTCAATTTGCAAATCAGCGTTATGGATGCCATCACTGGGTCCCAAAGACTCTGGATTTTAAGATCCCGGTTCTCTGTAAGTTCCGAAAATGTTGAGATTAATCGATTAATTGGAGCGGTTCGGGATAAAACACTGCCCATACTCTAGATCTAAATGTCCACCTTAAAGATAGAACTCCGAAACATTTAGCACACGAAAAGTATTTATTTGTGAAGGCAAGACTTTTTCACAAATCAACATTCAAGTTAAGTTTAAATGGATTCAAGTAAAAAAATCAACATAAAAAGCCTATGAACTTATTTCAAGAATTTAAAATCTTTACTAAGCTAAAAAGGGGTATTAGTATATGAGGTAGAATACAGTTCATTCAGAACTTACAAAAATTATAGAATTGTACTTAAAATCTAAATTGACAATAACATATTTGTTGTTCGTCAGATTGGCATACAAAAAGCGGTGCACCAATAATATGAGATATATTTTCTATTTCATGACGATTATATAAAATACAATCGCCTTCAGATCAGCTTAAAAGGACCGCCTCTACATTTAAAAAGTACGCTCGATATGTGTTGAGTGTTTTCGTAATAAAAACTTTTCATAATACTATATTGCAGCTGTGGGTACATGTCTTGAGATCCCGATCTAGCATTCGCGACGAAGGAATCTTGTTCACTCTGTTTTTATAAAGTTATAATATTATTGTGTAATAATTTAAGATCCATACTTCGAAAACTGGTAATTGAAAGACTCTGTTCTGAACACATTTTTTTCCAATGTTTGGCCCAATACATTCCTTTGTCAATTGTAAGTCCAGCAAGTTCTATATTATGTGGTTCAAAATCCCAGAAACCTGCTCACATAGGTCACTCATAATTTTTTTGAGAAATTTTTTTCAAAATTCCTTTATTAATTGTTATTAAATATTTTTGTTAATTGTGTTTCTAAAAAATGTATTTTCAATCTAATTAAGAGATAATATTACTATTATGAACGCACTAATATTTGATTTTTGTTTTCAGCTTTTTGAATCATTACGAAAGGAGAAGCCCAAGGAATTGAGTAAAGTTATTCCAATATCAGGTGATATTACATCTGAAGAATTAGGTATTTCTGAAAGTGATCAGGTATGTACTAATATTTTGTTGTATATGTATATATATAATACGAGTATAGTATTTCAATGTTGTTAATTTAAAAATGATTTTATTTTTTTTAGGCTCTATTATGTCGCACAGTCTCTATAGTATTCCACTCAGCTGCCACTGTCAAGTTCGACGAAAAGCTCAAATTGTCAGTCACAATCAATATGTTAGGGACAAAACGTTTAGTGGAGTTGTGCCACCGCATGATGTCTCTAGACGTAAGTTCTGTAATCATATATTTAAAACTATAAAAACATAATTCATAATTGTTTTATTTAGGCACTGATTCATGTGTCCACTGCCTATTGCAATTGCGATAGAACCGATGTTTCGGAGGTTATTTATGCACCCCCTTATAATCCTGATGATATTATTTCACTTATCAATTGGCTTCCTGAAGAAATGTTGGACCAGGTATTATTATACGATTCTTTTAGAATGAATATATTAGCTATACTAATACTATCAAACTCAAATTGCAGCTCACTCCTACACTGATTGGCAAGCGTCCCAACACTTACACATTTACAAAAGCCTTAGCGGAACACATGCTGCTAAAAGAAGCTGGTAACCTGCCGGTAGCTATTGTTCGACCATCCATTGGTAATTATAATATACATATTTAATATACACCTCATATTTATACCATATATATTGTATATAGGTTAATTAGATTAAATTGTACATTAAATTTAATTATGGAATTAAAGTGAGTTCCAATTTTTTTCTAATGATAAAATTCGGTTTTTTTTTTAGTAATTGCTAGTTTGAATGAACCTTTTGCCGGTTGGGTGGATAATTTCAATGGACCTACCGGACTCGTGTCAGCCGTTGGAAAAGGACTCTTTCGTACAATTATGTGTGAAGAGAATAATGTGGCCGATATGGTACCTGTCGATATTGTGATTAATTTAATGATTGCGGCTGCCTGGCGCACCGCGACGCAAAAACTAGATAATTTATTAATTTATAATTGTTGTACTGGTCAGCGCCACCCCATCACGTGGGGCCAATTTGTGAGTTATGCTATGGCGCAAGTGCGAAAACATCCTTTGGGTAAGCAGTATATTAAAACTAAAACTACTCAAACTATCTATCTATGCTAATAAATTCAAACCAATAATTATGGAAATTGATAACTCATCAATTTGTGTTTCATTGCAGAGGGTTGTTTATGGTACCCAACTGGTGTTTTGCGTATGAATCGACCTCTGAATATGGCGCATGGCTTCTTGGTGCACTATGTGCCGGCATATATTTTGGACTTAGTTGCTCGTTTAATGGGAAAGAAACCATTGTAAGTTTAAAAGTTATTTTCATTTTTTTTATGTAGTTTAAAGTTGTGAAAAGAATTTATTAAGAATTATACTAAATGTTTAAACTAGCAGAGTTAAGAGTGACAAATATGCAAATTATGACAATATCACAAATAACTTATGAAGTAAAGTTTGTAATTTTTAATATTAATAAATAATAGCAAACAATTGTTATAGTTGTGATCTTTGGAAATGTTTTGAGATGTTTAAAATTATAATTTTTTTAACAAATTTTTTGGTAGTGATTTATTTTTGTACTAAAATTTATAACATTTAATTATGATATTTTTAGTATGGTCCATATACAAAACAAAATAGCGAAAGCTGTTGAATGTTTGGAATATTTCGCGACACATGAATGGCAATTTAAGGACGATAATGTGCATTCTTTACTAAATATGCTCAGTCAAAAGGATCGAGAGACATTTATTTTCGATGTGAGATCAATAGACTGGGAAAATTATGTGGAACGTTATGTGCTCGGCTTTAGGGAATTCTTATTTAAGCAACGTCCAGAATCGCTGCCGGCAAGTAGGAATCGTATGGTGCGGTAAGTTATTTTAAACTTTAAAATTCTTTCCTAATTGTTTTAATAAATTTAAAAAATCACTTTTTGCAGTTTGTATTACTTACATCAATTGACAAAACTTGTGGCTGTTATACTCACTTGGCGATTCCTGATGGCACGTTCGAAGCGATTAAATGATCTGTGGACAGGATTTTTACAAAACGTTGTGAAAATTATTCGCTTGATACCATTTTTGTAATAAAAACATTTTTTATATAAATCTTAAACTGTTAAGGATAGTTCAGCTGCAATAACACTTAAGTTAAGTTAATTGCAAAGTAGCAAAAACAAATCAATGTAGTCAACACCCAACAGAATTTTCGAAATGCAGTAGAGTGGATCTTATAATCAGGAAGTTTTGAATAATTCTAAAACATTAAATGAAAAGGACTTTTCGATTTATATACCAGCAATTATGTTTCATTATTAATTGTTATTAATATATTTTAAATAGTGTTTGTAAATCACTTGTGGGTTAGAAATGTCATTAACCTAATTTCGCTCATTTTTTAACATTCTTTTTTCAACATAATTTGCATAAAGTTTTTGTTAATAAATATAAAAATTTTCTTAACCACAAAAATATTATTCATAATATTAATCTTATATAAAGAGTATGTTAGATATATAGTCAAAGGAGTGCATTAACAAATATGTATAAAGAGTTAGTTAAGGCTTTTGAGTAATATTTTTGCTGTCATACTTTTTGGGCATTTTTGAATAGATTATGATTATATATGTATTTAATAACTATATATATAAATTATGTGAAATTATGTACTAACTTATTTGCATGGCTATAGGGTATAATATTACTTGTATTAGAGAATTTAGTCAAGTGTTTTCTACATTTTCAATAGGTCTATTCAATGCTTGTAAAATATAAGTTGAATAGAAAAATAAATACGAGTATGTAACAAAAAAATTAAATAAAATTTTTATATAAATTTAATTAATATAATGCTAATATGGTATTTGAAGAAATTACGTATTATTTAAAGTTTATAACATACAAAAAACTTAAGTGAATAAATATTAAAATTGCTTGTTACAATTGAAACACCTTTAATTAAAATGAAAACAAAATATTATAATAAAAACATAATTATTAATTAATAAGAAAACAGCAAAAAATTCTTAAATTAAAATTAGTTTAAAATTTTTACAAATAAACTAAGCTGCAAATAATTGGAAAAAGCAGCATATATTAAATTATATATAGTATATATACATAATTTGTAAATTATATAAAGAATTAAAAGAAATATTAAAAAATAATATTAAAAATATATAGAAATAATATTATTAATTGTAAGCATTAGCATATTTAAAATTGCATTGGTTCAAATAGAAAAGCTAACTAGGAGAAAACCACAAGATCGTGACATGCTATACAAAAGTAACATGCTACAAAACATTATGTGCAGAAGTGTAGCATGCTATAAATATTACGAGTATAAAAAGAAATAAATTGTGAAATTAAGAATAAAAAATATATAAAAATATATATAAAAAAATAGTAAAAATCTTAAAACATTTGCATTCCATCCACAGTAAGCGAATTGAAATAAAAATATTGTGAAAGCAAATAATATAAAATTATTTAATTATTTGTTAACTTTTATATAAAAATATGTTAAGTTCTTTTAATATTTGTGCAATTTATGTCATGTACTTTTTATTGTTATAATTAAATTACAAGAATTTGGGGAAACTTTTAAATTATTCGAGGGGTGCAAAACATATTTATATAACTCAGTGTTCCCCAAACATTTCTGTTTTGTATATTAATTATTTAAATTTTTTAACATTAACATTAATTTTGCTAAAGTTTCAATATTTATATAAAAAATTATTTTCGAAAAGTTTTAAATTTAAATTTAGTAATTAAACAATTTTTATGTCGTGCAATACAAATCGATTATAGAAGTTTTATTTTAAATTTGTAAAAAATTTTTTATGTACGATTATTTCGGCTTGCAAATCTTTGAAATTTTTTTCACAATTCATAATTAAATACACAAACATGTTCGATTATGCTAAGAAACGATTAAAGTATAACTAATAAAAATGGGTTAAAAATATATAACTGTAGCTTCATTTATTTATTGAGGAATTTCAATTCTATTTTCACTCAAAATTTTTTAAAAAAAATTTAAATGACACGTGAATATCTTCACCATGCGAAAAATTGACTATGACATCATGTGGTGAAGCAAAGCTTTGACAAACAATTATTGTTTTTTTGAAAACTGAAACTTTTTTTAAATGTTTTTTATTCAATATTCTTATATATACAATCCTTGCCATCATTTTCCAGCTGTTCACTATATCCCTCGATTACTAATCTAACCGGCCACATGTCAATTGTTTACTTCTCCACATATCACATCACTAAAACCAGGTTATGGCATTGGTTGTTGAACAGGTCAGTACTATGACAACGCGCTGAGGTAGAGTCCTAATACCTAGAGTAGAGATAAATGCCTAGAGTAGGCATTTATCTCACTCAACCTAATACAAATGAATAATGGGAATATCTTAATCTTCGATAAAGGTAGAGGTGTATGCTACATAGTACTCACTTTTGCCAGCCCGCCATTAGTAAGGTGCTCGCAATGAAAGTAACAAACCGCTATACCCATGGAGATCACCAGCTTGTTTGCTTTTCCCTACTGTTGAAAGAGAAGTTGAACTTTGTTGTAAAAAAATCGCAGAGAAAAGCACAGCAAATAAAATGGAAAACTAAGTATCTCGACAAATTATTGGAGGACCGAAGAAATAGCTTCATTAAGATCTCTATGTTTTGCCTCCCGTAGTTAATTTCAACGCCATAGATCTGGAGTATATGTGGAAAGGCTTTCACAAAAATATTTTTATCTCATATATTTAAATAAATTTATTTATTTAATATGTAAATGTAAATGTTAAATGTAATGTAAATGTAATGCTCATATGATGATTGGAGTTTTGCAACATATATCCAGTGAACATTCACAATAGACTGATTTTTGAATTTGGCTGCACTGAAACTTAAGTCGTAAAAAATTTGCGAGTAAAATCTAACTCTGAAGATTTTAAGAGCATTGTTGTTGCTTCACACGTTTGCTTTCGTAAGCTGGGAGTATTTTTTTGCTACTCTGAAAGAAAAAAACACGCCTCATGTTGAACCAGAGCAAAGCAAAGTACTATCTTCATTTTTTGAGCGAATATTGAATTTGCTAGCATGGTTTCCTAACCGACAGTGAAAGAAACGGATAGATTGGTATTATATGTAAGTAATATTAAAATTGTTTTTTTTTATATTCAATATTTGATTGGAGTCCTGTTGAGGAAATAAAACAAATTCGATTTACACATTGAATTTACGTCTTTATTTTTGTCTGTATTTCATTTTAAAACATTTCATTTATTTGTTTTAAGCTTACAGCTTAAAATAATAATTTAGTTGAAAATATATCGTAATGTGTTATGTTACTCTGTATATATTTATTTAATGCTCTTTTGTTTTTTATACGTAAATATACTTTGTATTCTTGTTTGTTGGGTCCTGTAGGTACGCTAAACTTTAAATGGTTTTCCATATTTGTTTTTGTATTTTTAAAAATACAATTCATTTTGAAATTTTTTTTTAATTACATTTCTCATTTTATACTCATAATAGCTAAAATAAAAATAATTTTAAATTTATTATTGTATTTATAACATTGAGATGTTGGTTTATAAATTGAATAATAATGTACTTCTCTTATAAATAAGATGCCGTATATGCAAATTCTATAATAAATCCTTTTTGTTTTGTTTTGTTTTGTTTATGAATGAGTTGTATTTTTTAAAATTTAATTTAATTACTTGTAAATATTTCTTGTTTATAATTCTTATTATTTTAATATCTTTTATTTATTGTTAATTCTTTTAAAGTAGCATCAATTTTTTCTTTTTCATTTTCCTTTATTTTTAGATAATGTTAATACAATTAACAGCAATGATTCTTCTTGTTGCATATAAGTCATTATAATAATTATTATATTATACTATATTACATTATTATTACAAGCTAAGTTAATGAAATGAAAATGTTTCTTATTCATGTGTTAAGTATTAAGTATTAATATTATAAATATTGATTTTTGTTATTATACTTCTTACATATAGTTAGCTTTTAAATTAATTTTTATAATATATGTAATATGTGTTTAAGTCTGTTTGTATATAGTATTTTCTCATCTTAACGAACACAAATAATGTTTATATGTAATTATTAATTAAGAGCTAAATGGACTTTTATATTGTGTTTGTATAATTTTATATGTAAATGTAATATAAGAATGCTGCTATATATATATATATATTCATATATATATACATATATATATATATGTATACATATATATATGTATATGCTATACATGCATATACAATTTATGCTACTTGCTTGCCAATTTTGAGCGCGGCACAAATGTAAATAAATTATTTCTGCACATAGAATTTAAATTTCTTATTTTTTTTAATTTTTACAATTTAAAAGCTTTTAACTTATTTGGTTTATAAACATATTTTATTTAAATTTATAATTAAACAACATTTTTATTCACACCCTCTCTTACAAAAATTCTAGTCTTTACGTTACGCCATGTTTTTAGTACTCTTATTATTATTTTATATTTTATTTATATTATATATATTATATTTGATGTTCATTTATATTGAAATGACTTCATAAAAAAAAAAATTATTAATTATAAACTCAAATATTTTCAAGCTTAAAGAAATCAACTTAAGTTTTTCTTTTTATATAAATAATGAATTGTTATTATTTTATATTATTTTTTAAATATTCTACATAAATATAAAATGTGTAATTTTTTGTAAAATTTCGTTGCTACAAATTTGTTTATTTAAACAAAAAACTTTATATAACATTTAACTATTATATACTAAAGCTTCTGTATCAAAATTTTTTCTTTTTAAATTATTATAATTATTATAAATTGTGTAAGTTGTGTTTATTATTCAACGAACTGCTAATATGAAGAAATTATAATTATGTTTATAAAAATTATATATAAGTACAGAAATCATGTGTAGAAAAAAATTTCTTTAACAATAAATTATTATTATAATATAAAAAATTAAGTTTTAGAATAACAATAAATTTATTTTGTGTACAATTATTTTTTTTTCTAATTTAAAATTAAACAATTGAAGTAAAAGTGTTTAAAGTATTATTAATTTTAAAGTTAAAATGTTTAAATCATTTTAAAATAAGTAAAAAAATTGTTAGTAATAAAATAATAAAATAAAAATATTAATAAAAACAAATTTTGAAGTTGTTTTTGTCTTTAATATAATATTTATTTTTCAATTTCGATATAGGAGTTTGAAATGAAGGTAGCAATCCAATTTTAATTTCAATTAAATTATATATTTAAATTATTTATAATGATTTTATATATATGCTGTGTGTTAATTATATGTTTCAGATATGAAACTTTATTAAAATAAAGTAGTTAGAAAAATCTAATGTATAAAAATAATCAGATGATGTTTATGAAAAGTTTACGAATTAAAATTTTCAGTTGAATTTTTTTAAAAGAGATTATTAAAAAACACATAATAATATAAATTAAAATAAGAAATTTTATACAATTAGGAATAAAAGAAATAAAAATATTGAATAAGTATCTTTCGAATAGGTATGAGAATCTTTCAAAATCATTTATGTGTTCTAGTTTTATAGGCATTTCTCTCTCGGAATGGCCGTTCCAGCTAATGTAGTCAAACCAATTTTTGGATCCACATCTTTTGAGGTTTTTCTCATTTTTACTCATAGTATTTGAGATGTTGATATAATATATATATATATATATATATATAACGATTCTGTGCATCTTAAGATAGTTTCACTTGAACAGTCACTTTAGTGGCGTTGTCTATTATTAGATGAAAGTGTTTAGATGTTTTCACATAATCAAGTGCGTAAAAAGTAGTACAAATTCAACCGTATGTTGTTGATCTGTAAAT